CACATTTCAGCTGAGACCTAAATCCACAGAAGGGAGGGAATTCTCACTTAGATTGCCATGGCAGCATAACTCTGTCCCACAATTGTGTCTGTGTTTTGGAAATGCATTGCTGTTGTTCCGAAAGTGTGCGAGGTGTATTAAAGGCAATTTAAGATGACAAGATCTTTGCCCCCAAAAGCTTGCAACGTGGCCAGGTTACAGACGAAGAACAGAATTGTGTTAATTAAAAAGGCAACAGCTAATTGACATACCCGGTCCCTTTAATATATCACATACAAAAACTGTTTTAAGAAGTACCATATTCAATGGGAAAATGTATAACCAATTTAGAGGAAAATTCATGTTTATCTCACTTTCTGTGGATGAAGCAAAATGACTGAAACATGAATTTTGTGCAATTGTCAGACAGATATATTTTTGGTGTGAATTAGGGAATATGCATTGTTTCAAAGTAGCCCTTATATTAACATTTTTAGGGTTTTTTTAAAATTCTGTTTCCATTGCATTCATTCTAAGCCCATTATCTTGTCCTCCATCAAATCCTTTTTCAAGGCCCAGTTCTTCCATGATTCCTACAAGATATCAGCTAACTAATAATGGCTATATTAAGGAGCTGCCATGTAGAGCTGCTGTGTTTTTTAAAAGGTATATAATGTATATATAAATTACGCATATTTTGATTGCTTACCTTTTCTCCTCTTTTCACAATATGGCCAAAAAAAAAAAAAAAAATAGAAGAGTCGGACAACACTCCGATGGGTCTGTTTTCTGGAAGCAAACAGTAATAGCAACATAATGAATTGCAGTGTGTCACTCACAGATGACAAGCCTGTTCAACTGGGAGAAGGAGAGGCAGAATGAAACTAGTGTGTGGCATTATATTCCCCCTCTCCCTCTATTTGACTGTTCTTACCTCTTTACGGATAGTCACTACCTCAGAGGATCCACATTTCTTGCTATGCGTCTGTGTAGGAATTAACACAACATGGTCCCATTTCCTTGGTGGTACAAGATAACAAATTAATAATAATTTATAGAACAATGTGGAATTATTGCAATGATGAAAATTAAATCTAGTTTATGGGAAATAATACACAGGGACACTCAGTGTGAATTTTAAGTGGTTTAGTTAAAGTGCATTAAACCCTGTGTGGACACTCTCAGGTCTGGTTTACACTACAGAGTTAGGTTGGTACAAGGCAGCTTTATGTCGACCTAACTATAGAAGTGTCTACACTTAAATTTTGCTCCTGACGATATAAATGTCCTGCTGTGCAGACTTCCTAACTCCACCTCCATGAGCGGTAAGGACGCGCACCACTGATACAAGGAGCAAAGTATAGTCACGCACAAGCGATGTAGTTACTGTGGAAGCTGTATGCTGATGCAAGTTAGGTCGACTTAATTTTGTAATGTAGACATGGCCTCATTCAGAATTTAAGTGGCCTTAATTTGGTTTAGTTTTATTTCAATTAAACTAAACCAAATTATGGCTACTTATGAGTATCTCCACAGGGGTTTAATGCAGTTTAACTAATCCACTTTAAATTCACACCTTTAGTTAATTTGGATTGATTTTCCTGAGTGTCACTATGTAGCCAAGCCCACAGATTCAACAACTTTTCTCTCCTGCTTTATTCAGTACTGTGACAGTGTGTCTGGTTTCAGTCAATTACAAATTCAAATTGTCCCCATCAAATCATATCTACCATTTGCAGAGCACATTCTGTCTCTGCTCTCCCCCTCCCCAACTGCCTCAACAGTCTGCATACAGTCATCAGAGGGGGTGGTGTTCCAGTTTCTTGGCTTTTAGCTCCTTAATGTGGGTTTCTGAACCTTAGAAGAGGGGCCAAGTTAACTCCATGTAACATGACCATTTAAATAGCTAACCTTTGAAACTTGCCTTTGTTTAATGGAGATCTTCTCTGTGTATGGCTGAAATATAGAGAGATACAACACTACTATATAATACTGTACACAGACATCAAAGAGATCTGATGACATCTGGTAACCATAAAAGCAAAGCTCAAGTGATTTACGATGTCATTGGAACCCTGACATTTGTGCAGCTTCATTCAGTTTTCCTGTTGTGAGAGTTATACTTCAAAAGCATACACTGTATAAAATGTCCATTTCCCTGTTGATTTTATAAAATGTTGCTGGAGAAGTACAGGAAACTAGGAGAGAATTTTTTTTCTTCTTTAAAATATACAGTTTAATTTCAAGACTGTTCTAAAAGGGATTATGACATCAGATATTGTTCATTCAGCCAACCTTTGTTTGATACACTCCTTGATTTTCACACTACAGTCTTATTTGTTAAAAGGTTAGGAAAGCTGTCTTGCTGATGCTCAAAAGATTGAATATTGCTTTTTCTAGCTTTTTCATGCCCTAGCTATGACTGTTTTGTTTTTTTGTCTGGCAGTTGCTTTTGTAATGGTATGTTATTTAAACATCTGCAGAGATGCTATACATTTATATAAGCTAGAAGCCAAACATCTGTTTTTAAATCCATGTTTCAAGTCCCTTTCCCTGCCTAATATTTTCAGGATGTAAAATGAAAACCTTGAAGCTGTGTGTATTAATGTGACTTCTGCATGGTGAATAAGTGCATTTTCATGTTCGAGCAGGTGATGATGAGTTAGCAGCCTTCAATGATGTGTCATGTCCCTCAGTATTGAGCAAGGTGATTAGCTGCAGGCCCAAATTATAGCCTACAGTCTGCTGGCCCAAGATATATCCCTCAGCCTGCCAACAGAAAAGAGGATGCAATAACAGGTGTAAAAGTGTAGTTAAAATGAAACCTAGTGTACATCTACACTAGTAGCTTTACGTCTGTTGCTCCAGGGTTTGGTGGTTTGGAGTTTTAATGCTGCCAATCCTTTGATTTAGCCAGAGACCACTTACAAAATCCTTACCTGTCAGGATCACAGCGTAACTTCTGTGTGAACTTTAATGCCTTTTGACCCACAGTTTAGTCACCCGATTACTCTCCATTTATGAGTGCATGAGTAGATTGGCCATGAAATCAATGACACCATTCTAAAAAGAGCCGACTTTAAAAAATAATGTTATAATGTGCACAAATTTAAAATAAAGTAGGACCTGTTTGGGTAATATTGGATAGTCACACACCATAGATGTGGAGATTTCAGTGTTACGCTACTCTGTTATGAGACCAGGGCTCTGGACTGACACACTCCAGCACAGGTTCACTTTATTATTATTTATTTACTTATTTTTGCACCAGCCAGAAATGTGCTTTACACGTTTGACAGAACAAATAAGAAAAAGTCCTTGCCCTGCAGAGCTTACAATCTAATCTGATGGGTGGTCAGGTACCAAATAAACAAGAGAAGGGCAGGACAGAGTAGCAAAGGACCAGGGCGATATAAATTAGATCACTCAGTTCTGTGCTTTACTTCACCCATTATTCTTTTTCAGAACTAGGCTTGTAGCCAGAGCTGAACCTCTTCAGCATACACGTCGACACCCAAAAGGGACGGGGAGCATGGGGCAACATGTGGAGACAGTGGCAGAAGTCAAGATGAGGGGGAAGGGAAGACAAATAACAGAATGGGGGTGGAGGGAAGGCGAGGAACTTTAAAAAGCAAATATTTCAATTTCAGTGGGGGGATGTCTGAGGGGGCTGGGGAGATTGTATTTCTGAGTTTCTTTTTGCTACTGATCCAACTAACTGGGATCATAGTTGGTTGGATTGGTTGCCAAAATAATCTTTCAAAGAGAGAGAGAGAGAGCATCCCTCCTGAAATTCTGGAATAACTCCATAGTCCCCTCCCGCTCCCCACACATAGTTGGACAGAATATTGATATGGGGGGAAATCCCTTAACGGACAAAACTGTAAATTAAACCACTGTTGACAGGGGGAAGAGGTGTAGATATGTATAACGGAAGTATTTTCATTTGAGAGCTGCTGTTCTCTTCTCCCACTCGTCTAGTCGGCGGAGAGTGTGAGGGTTTTCCTGTTTGAGACATGGCAATGGTGGTTTCCTCAAGGCTTTTAATGTTAGATTAATGCTCTGGAGACAATGCGGTGATAAATGGGTTCCTACAGTTATATCTACATCCTGTTCTCCCTTCCCCCTCCCGCATGTCCACTCACATGCACAGTCCAGGTACTTTTCCAAGTTGTAATGCTTGTTCTTGCACAAAGCAACAGTTCTGACTAGTTTCCCCTAGTGATTAAACTGCAGCTCCTTCTTTCAAAGTTTATTCGCTAAATCCTTTAATTTGAGATGCAGAGTGCTTTATTATCAGCTGTTTCCTAGGAAGATGACACAAATGAAATGGGGACGAGAAAGGCTTATGGTTAACTGAGGAGTGGTGCCAGTGAATTGGCTTGTCATCTGTGATGTGATACATTCCAATTCATTATTTTTGCTATTACTGTTCACTTCCAGAAGATAGATCCATGAGAGTGGCCTCCGTCTTTTTGTTGTTGTTTCATATTATAATGACTAAGCTCTTCGTTTCAGATTATAGTCAGTAATCAGAGCTGTGGGCAGAGAATTGAGTATTTCTTATCTTCTGAAAGAGAATGGCTCCCCTGTGTGAGCTGCAAGTATGCCTTGGCCAAATGCAACCTGTGCAATGATAAAGATTAAAGTATTTGGCTTTGGAAAAGCTTGATACTAAATTAGAGAGGAAACAGAAGATTCGAGTCAAATTTTTAGTAGCTGCACTTGCCACCAGCATGAGTTGTTTTAATAGGTATATTTTTTACTTGAACACTGATCATGAAAGCTTTTCATTTCTGTATAAATTTTGTTTACAAATTAAATGTAGTTGGAGAGGAGGGGAAGAAGAAACAGTAAGATGGCTCTGTTAACCTAACTGACCTAATGCAATCAAACTGTATTTTTCCATTTATGTGTCAATGCCTTTCACAGTTTAAAACAGTATATTTTTAGATTGAAAAGGGTGCCTATCATGTTGATGAGTTCAGATTTCATATCATGGCTTCCTTTCTTGCTTTCAGGTTTCTCCCATTCGGCCTTTACATTTGGTATCGAAAGCCACATTAGTCAGTCCAACATCAATGGAACACTAGTGCCACCTGCTGCCCTCATCTCTATTCTTCAGAAAGGCCTGCAGTATGTGGAGGCTGAGATCAGCATCAATGAAGTGAGTACACTCATTGCCACAAGCGGGAAGTGCACTTTTGCAATTTACAAACGTGCTAGAAGGTGGCATATGAAATCACACATTTTCGGTTGAACTCAACAGGTCAGATGAACATGAGACAGCATCTGAGGTGTCTGGAGATTAGCTTCATTTTAATACATTTCCCCCCACAGAAGCACCTGAAAAGGCTCTACGATACTTTCCATTTCCACAGCGGCAGCTCCAGGCACCAGCGCTCCAAGCGCGTGCCTGGGGCGGCAAGCCACGGGGGGCGCCCTGCCGGTCCCTATGAGGGCGGCAGGCAGGCAGCCTTGTGGGAGCTCCGCGGATTCGGCGGCAATTCGGCGGTGGGTATGCCTAAGCTGCAGGACTGGCGGACCTCCCGCAGGCGTGCTGCCGAATCCGTGGGACTGGGGACCTCCTGCAGGCATGCCGCCAAAAGCCGCCTGCCTGCCATGCTTTGGGCGGCAAAAAATCTAGAGTCGCCCCTGAATTTGCAATTATAGCTTGGAGGATGGATTTTTTTGATGTTACTGGTGCCTAAGTAAAGAAGTTAAATACTCAGGGAGCCTTATGGTGCATAAGAAAATATATGTCCTTTAAAAAAAAAAAAAAAAAAGTGTTTCTGTTTTCAAAACCACAAGCATTCAATGGGGAAAGTCTGCATTGTATCATAAAACTTGGATTGTATACTCTGTTAGCAGATAGGACTTCCAGCAAGTGCTAGGGCCCTGATCCAAAACCCATTGAAGTCAATGGAAAGATTCCCATTGATTTCAATGGGCTTTTGGATCAAGCCCTAGAAAAGACACGTGGCCAAATGGTGTGACTGAGCCAGGCAAAAGAATCAAGACATTCCTGAGGTCTAATCCTGACTCTGCTGTTGAATCCATCAACCTGCAAGCTCCCAACAAGGTGGACAGTTCAGTGAAACAAAGGGACTACACAGGAAAGTCCAGTAGTTCTGCCCTGCCTAACTTAAGAACATGGTGCCACAGCAAAAGGAAATGAGACAAGCCAGGTCTTACTACATTACACAGTACTCACCATGTATACTTTTAATTAAGCAAGATCTTGACTCTAGATAAACAATAATTTCCCATGTGCACATTCACTCTCTCTCCCCCCCCCCATGCACCTTGAGTAGTCGTGGAAAAATCTATTATAATACCCAAGCTAATAAATATTTTTTTAAAACAGGGAGGGGAACATTTTTACCTCTGTCAGGTAATACGTGGGTGGTGGTAATCTTTAATATATATTAATTCATATGAAAGCTATCATTTCTTTTGACTGTAAAATGCTTGTGCCTGAGCAGCAGGGGTGAGAACAAAAGGACGGGGGGAAAGAGGGTGAGGAAGCGCTTGTATTCTATAATATAGGGCATGGTTGTATATCACTCATTTTTAGAGGTAAAAATGTTATGTTTATTTTACTCTCTCAATAGAACGAACCAGCAATATTTAGCAGTTATCTTTTTTTTTTTTAATATAAACGCAATTGTATTTGAGATTAATGCCAAATTACACATTGATGTATTTGTAATAATAAAACACCCATAGGAATTTGTTTTGGTTTTCTGCCACTTAACATTTTGCGGTTGGATGCTGCAAAACATGTTGCAATTGGATCAAGGTGGGTGGACCCTGGCACCTATGGACATCACCACTGACAGTTTGGCCTCTGTGCTAATGCAAGAGTCATTCCAAGTGGATCTTATTCCGGATCACAGCACAAATAGGGAAAATGCTCTAAAAATATGTACACTGTTACAAGATTTATGGTGCTTTTATACTTTTTTTAAAACACCGATAATCACATTTTTGTATGCTTCACTGTATTTTTAACTTATTCAAACTGAAAACACTAATTATGAATTCACTTGTCCAATTGTGCTATTTAATTTATTTAATAAGTTTATCTCCAATTTCATGTCCCTTAATGTAATTGTGCTTTATAATTGCAAATATAATTTTTTCACCTTTATTTTAATGAATTGTTTTTGCACTTCATACTTAAATGCTCACACAAAGACACCGAGTTCTGAAATGATCAATAGCAGACAAAACTTAGAGGGAATTGGAATGCTATATTATAATGGCATTGCTAATTATGCCATTCAAAGAAGGTTAGAGCTAGACCTAAAAGGCCTCAGCATTTACTTTCATGCCAGCAATGATCATCTATTTTTGCTGGTGGCTGTTTTAAAGAGAGGGAGCTTACAATCTAAAAAGGCAACACAAGCAAAAAGTAATAAGAAACAGGGCCGGTGCAACCTCTTAGGCGACCTAGGCGGTCGCCTAGGGCACTAGCATTTGGGGGGCAGCATTTCAGGTCCTTCGGCGGTGACCGCAGCGGCCGGATCTTCAGCCGCCCTGGTCGTCGTCGGCATTTAGGCGGAGGGAGCTGGGGCAGGGGGACGCGGGGAGGGCCGCCTGCAGCAAGTAAGGGGGGGGCGGCATTCAGGGGAACTCCCCACCCCCACTCACCTCTGCTCCGCCTCCTCCCCGAGCATGCCGTCCCGCTCTGCTTCTCTCCCTCCCAGGCTTGCGGCACCAAACAGCTGATTGGCACCGCAAGCCTGGTAGGCGGGAGAAGTGGAGCGGCAATGGCGTGCTTGGGAGGAGGCAGAGCAGAGGTGAGCTGGGGCAGGGAGCTGTCGCACGGCAGCCGGGGGGAGCTGCCGTAGGGGGGCGCCTCAGGGCAGAGGGGGGGAGCTGCTGCGGGGGGGGCACCTCAGGGCGGGGGGGGGGGGGGGGGGAGCTGGCCGGGGGGGGGGCCTTAGGGCGGAGGGGGGGTGCAAGGTGGAAGTTTCGCCTAGGGCTTGAAACATCCTTGCACCCGCCCTGATAAGAAAGCAACCAATATGCCCCTTCTCTACTGTGTGGTGGGAAGAAATGTCTCCTTCCCAAGCCAGCATGCCTCCTCTACTGTCTTGTGCCTGCCAAGGACACCCCTGCACTATGGGGAATCCTCCGCTCCTTGCCTGTTACAGCTTTTAAGTCCCTTGTCTCCATTCTGGAACAAAATTAGGGACACGGATCTGATTCTAAAATTCTATGTACAGTAACGGGCCTCAGTTTTATATTCCAACTTCATTTTTTATGCCTGAAAATTATGCTAGACATATATTTCTAAGTATCCAACTACATCAGCAAGTAGTTAGTAAATTCTTAGACATCTACAGTAATGACCATTATTGTGCCCACAATATTCTGCGTGCAGAAACAGAGGCCTTGTTAAGACTGTGGTGCTCTTAGCACTAAGGTGACCAGAGGTCCTGGCTAATGGGAGTGGGGTGTGTGTGTGCTTGCGGACGAGAGCAGCGTGTGGAGCCTCCTGGCCCCCCTCGCCTAGGACCCGGACCTGCTGGCTGTTTCCAGGGCACGTGCAGCACGGTGCCAGGACAGGAAGGTAGCCTGCCTTAGCCCCCCGCTGCACCACTGACCAGGAGCTGCCCAAGGTAAGCTCATGCCCCAACCCCCTGCCTCAGCCCTTAGCCCACTCCCAAACCCAGAGCACCCTCATGCACCACAAACCCCTCATCTCCGGCCCCACCTCAGAGCCCGCACCCAGAGCCCCCTCCCACACCTTGAACCCCTCATTCCCGGGCCCAACCCCAGAGCCCTCACCCCCTCCTGCACCCCAACCCCCGCCTCAACCCATAGCCCCCTCCCACACTCCAAATCCCTCAGCCCCAGCCTGAAGCCCCCTCCTACACCCCCATCTCTCATCCCCAGCCCTACCCTGGAGCCCTCACCCTCTCCTGCACCCCTACTCCCAGCCCAGAGCCCCCTCCTGAACCCCTAATTTCTAACTCCATCCCAGAGCCTGCACACCCAGTTAGAGCCCTCACCCGCTCCCGCACCCCAACCCTCTGCCCCAGCCCAGTGAAAGTGAGTGATGGTGGGGGGGAGCGAGCCACTGAGGGAGGAGGAATGTAGTGAGCGGGGGGCAGAGCCTCAGGGAAAGGGTGGGGCTAGGGTATTTGGTTTTGTGCAACTACAAAATTGGCAACCCTACTTAGCACAGATCCTCCACAATGAACGTCAATGGGAGCGTTGCTATTGCCTTCAATAAATATAGAATCAAACCCTATGTGCCTTCAGTTAAAAGTTTCATATGCTGCATGTCACAATTCAAGGAAGCTGCACCTGTATTTCCCCTCAGTGGTCCAGGAAGGGCACCCGTTCTCAGGCATCCAGCTCCCCAGCTATTGCCTCTCTTGGTTGGAGACCCAAATCTCACTCCCTTCTGACTGAGGAATTTCCAGGCTTCACAGTTCCCTGCCTTCACTGTCCCAGCATGGACAGATTGCCCAAGGACACCCACTTTTTTCTCTTCAGAGTCTGATAGTGATTGTGAGCAGATATAAGTACTACAAAGATATAGCTAAGCAAGCCTATTTTATTCTTAAGGTAAAAAGCACTTCAGAGAAAACATTTTAAAAACAGTAAAAGAACCTGCATGCATGCTAATGAGCTTATCAGGAACCTACGCCTTAATATGGATTCTGGCAGGATAAGTCCTTCAATCCTCCCACCCTAAGCATTACCTTGGGGTTACAAAGTCATAATAGCTTCAGCTCAGAAAAAGCACCTTGTCGTATTAGGCCTCAGTACGCCAAGTCCTTCCAACCTTCCCTAAGGATCGGGGCCTTCAGTGGACCAGAAATCTTGTTCTTTTGCTGGATCAGAAAAAAGGCCGCGAGTCAATTTAAACTCAGGTTATTTATCCAAAAGTCTCTTCTTTGTCTGTTGGTCTCTGGAAAATCTGGTTTGAACTAGTATGCATATCTTGCGGGGAGGGCGGGATGACAAAGGCTGAAAATGATAGTTCCAACAAGTCCATACTAGCCAGCCAAATGGTTATCTTTAGATTTCAATTTTTAATTTGTTATGGTAGTGGGGGGAGGGGTATTATAAAGTGAGAATTGTTTCCCAGCTACTTCATTTTACCACCTCCCCACCCAATCTCTCACCACTGTATATTGCCATTTTAGAAATCTGCTGCTGCTGGGTCACATCTATTTCCAAGAGTCAAACTGGGATAGCTTGCACCCTTGCTTTCATATTTTAAAAAATTAAATCTCTACCACTTGTGGTCATGAAGATAACCTTCAAAATGGGAACCAAATGTTAACTGATGTAATGATGTTTATCCCTGGGTCTGCAGGGAGCCCAAAACAATAGCTCAGAGAAGTGTGAACTTTTCCATTAATCTCAATGGTGCATTATCCCTGAAGTCTAATTATGAAAATATAATTGCCAACATTTACTATTTCATTATTTATCAAAATGCACAGAGAATTTACACACCCTCTCAATTTGACCCCTGTCTGTGTCTCTACATAGTCTTTGACCCTTTTATTTTGGAATATAAAATCAAGGGAAAAATTTCTAGCAAGATTTAGATAATTAAGCTTTGCATAACTCTGTTTTCTTTTATAAATTCAAATGCTTATGTGCCTGAATTTACATACCCTCTCAACCGATTATCCATCCACATTCGGTATTTCTACCATAAGCTCCAGTGTTCTGACTTTTTGGTCATATCCAAGTCCTGTAACCTCACACTACTCATATGTCTGGTTTCTCTTTGATGTTCCCCTCTCTACAGACCTTTCTCCACTGGGGAGATACTAAGCCTGAAATTTCCCCCCTGTTTATTTTGTTCCTCAGGATGGTACAGTATTTGATGGCAGGCCCATAGAGTCACTGTCTCTGATCGACGCTGTGATGCCTGACGTGGTACAGACCAGGCAACAGGCGTTCAGAGAGAAACTAGCTCAGCAACAAGCCAGTGCGGCAGCGGCAGCAACGGCAGCAGCAGCAGCCGCGACAGCGACGACGGCAGCAACCGCGACAGTTGTTTCCCAGCACAACACACCAAAGAATGGAGAAGCCACTGTGAATGGAGAGGAGAATGGGGCACATGCAATAAGTAAGCAAAAGCACGGCGCCCGTTGTCCGGTGTTCAGGTAGACTTTGGTTAGAATAATGCTCTTGCAGCAGCATGATGTTCACCCAACAGTTGTAATAGGACAGAACTGTGATGGCATCAATCCAGAAAACTATTAAAGCATGGGCATAGTCAGAACGGTTATTATGTAAACCTTACATATCGGAGGTACGTGCTACAGTGCTGGCATAGTCAGTGTTGTGTCGTCTCCTTGTACAAGACTAAACAAGCTTTACCGAACTGCAGACTCAGCAAGGCATCATAAAATGAAGCCGTGTGCGCCTTCTGCTTTGAGCAGGGTGCCAAAGCTTTGCCCACATTACCAGCTAGCCAGGTGCCTTGAGGCTGCACCCAGTTAAGATCACTGAAACGATGTGGCTTCCCTGGTTTAGATTTCCAAAGCTATATAGGGGATTTAGCTGCTTCCATTGAAATTGTGTGGCTAAATCCCTTAGTCGGGTGTAAGTCTCTCAAGCCCCAACTTTAGTATGGAAGTGTGTCCTGAAGAGACTACAGATCCTCTCGTGCCACCTCCCTCTTGGCCTGAGAAGAGAGCACATTATTGTATTAGAAATGAGGCAAGCCACAAAAGTCACATCATATTTCTCTGCAGTCTGCGTTTGGTCTCTTGAGCCACAGTTTGTCCATTCCCGGCATAACCATTGCAGTAATTTTAAACTGAGGGAGTTTCACTAACGTTTGTAGCCTTTTCTTGGGGCACCCAGGAAGCAGTCATACAGCAGGTCACATGGCTGTTTTGGCTTTCTCTATTTTGGGGAGTGGTAATACCTGGTACTGTGCTCTCCAATAAAATTTCACAGAGGGAGTGAGGAGGCCATGTTAGGGCTGTATCAACCAACAAGGCATGGGTTAGCATGCAGTAAATTTGGGGGCTTAGTTTTGGATAAGCAGTTGGCTAGGCAGACAGTAAAAAGAACAGCAGCAGTTTGGGATTTAGGAGGGGAGAAGGTCCCTGAGGAGCAGCTAGCCAGATGGCATGTGTTTAGCAACTGCTGCTGTGCCAGCTGCTCATTCTGGGAGAAGAGCTGAGGCCTGAAAGTTCAGAAGACGTAGGCGATGGGGAGACCCTGCAGAGCAACCTGGGGACAGCTGGCTCTGTGAAACAAGTGCTTGCACCACTTTGGGATGCTGCAAACTTGCTCTCTCCAAGCCATTCACAATATGCCATCTTCAGATCTGAAGGTGTAAGAATACATGGGGGAGAGGCACACACAACTTTAGGATCCCTGTTTAGTTGAACTGGCCCTGTCAGTCATCCATGACCTGTTCAAACAACAAAAACTGAGAGATAAAACTCAGGACTCCTGTGTCCAAGTTACTGTAATTACAGGCCACCACTAGAAATAAAGATTTTATAATGAGATTCTAGCTGGCAATTTTGTATTAGAGGCTAAATAGTGCTCCAACTGCTGTATTTGTCTCGGTAGCGATAATGGTAACCAAAAAAACAAATTCTGTAAGTGAAATAATGAGAGGGTCGCAATCTTTGTTGCTTAGGTAGGCCGAGCTGTACACCCAGCCAGGGTCCTTGCCCTTAGTATGGCCAGGCCCCTCATCCCATTTGGACACTCAGGATATAAGGCAGGTGGAGGACTATGTTCTGCTTTGGCAGTGAATGCGAGGCCACTTGCCTTCCTCCCCAGCGGTTGCTGCTCCTAACTCTGCTGCCGTCTGTGTTTAGACTGAGGCAGACACTGCTTCACTAATAATACTTAAATCATTTTTTCAAGATTTTTCTGCACAATCATGAGCATTTGAAACATCATATTTTTAAATGAAAGCTGGGATTCTGATGTCAGCATATGACTCTCAAACCTGGGGCCCTAAGCACATACTTATTGTGTCTATGCCTGAATGTCATGGGTGTACCTGAACCACACTGAAAAGCAGGCAAGCCTGAGGAGCCCAGCAGAGTGGAATGCGTTCATACTTTGAACAGCTGCACAGTTTCCTAAGAATGGCATCCTATTTTATCCTTCCAAGGGGGCGGAGTTCAGGAAAATAGCACTGCTTTTTGCTTATTTTTACCCCACTTTGAACCCTGAGTAGGACATTGACAAAATGAACCATCATCATACCGCTGCTGCTTTCTACCAGCAAAATACCCTTTGGCCTAGATGAATATGTGCTGTATTGGCAACCAGGAGAAAATGGGGTTCTAGGCTAATTTCTTCTACTAATTGATTTTAGTAGTGCTTTGCCTTTCACAGACCTTAGTAGTTAGAACCTTATGGGTCCCACACACAGCGTAGAGAACCCAGATCTCTAATATGACAGACCAGTTCTCAGCCACTTAGCCATGCTGTCTCTCAGAGAGAGTCTGACAAATATTTGCTCTTGGCTCTGTTTTCTATAAATAGGGGCTACTCCTCCATATGCAACATCTTTAACCTATTATATCAGTGTTAGTGGCTGGTGCACAGGGGGTAACAGCTTCTCCTGTTACCAGCTAAAGTAGTTAGTCCATTAGCTCAAGTGGTAGAAGGTTGTGCTGCAATGCTGAAAATCTGGGGTTAAAATCCTGCTGATGACACATGATGGCTGTTACAGTTACACACAATATAATTTGGGTTTTGGGGGGTGGCTTGTTTTTCAAAAACAAAAACAAAAGAAAGCTCTTTCAGTTGCAAAGCCAAGCACTCAAAAGTTAGAAAGCCAGATTTAACGTCACCCATCCAACCTTAATTCAGCCCCCATGTGCATTATGATACACCCTTCAATTATATGATCTGAAACTGTTTTGTCCACTGGACCCCTGCCTCAGTGTACAGCATGGACAGTGCTCAGAGAATGAGGCAGCTAGTCAATATTCCTTTGTATTCTCATTTTTCAGTGTGTGGCCTCAGGCCTTAAATACTGTACACCATCCCAGAGAAGGAGTGTACAACATATTACTCTTAAGGGAACAACATAAAGCTTTTTAATATAAATGTGGAAATATACTGTTTTTAATAAATCAGAAAAATTATTTTTATAACGCCAACTTTAAACAACAGATTGAATAAAATATCAATATATTTGATGAAAAGCATCAGGATTTTATTAAGCATGGCAATGTTATCTATGGAGGAAAAGCTATATAAAGTTTCAATCACAAATAAAAAGACAGAACAGTGTGGTCAATGACACACAATAGAATGTTTGATTTGTAAAATGTTGAGAGCTTCAAGCTACAGGACAGCCTACATTATCAAGCCATAATTTATGTGTCTGTAACAAAAACTCACAGAGCACTGATGTTCTGATATTTCTTTTTTCTACAGATAATCATTCAAAGCCAATGGAAATCGACGGGGATGTTGAAATACCTCCTAACAAAGCAACAGTCCTTCGGGGCCATGAATCAGAGGTGTTCATCTGTGCCTGGAACCCTGTCAGTGACCTGCTAGCGTCTGGGTAAGACAATGACCGAAACCACTTTCCAGATGTATAAAATACCATCTGTTACAATTAGGATTTATTTAGAGATGCAAAAACACGAGAGACCACTAGAGTTTGATGGACCACTTCTACAGTTTCTCATGCTAGAACAGTATCAATACGTTGTTTGAAAGAGTTGTGAGGTGATCCAGCACTTCAAACACTTGCAGAGTTAATATGTGCTGGGTTTGAGGCCACTCTACATTCGTGCATACCATGTGGCTTGCTTTATAGTCGTACATTTTAAAGATGTCTTTGGAAGATTCTCACTGGGCTCATGTTCACTTTTATTACACAAGCATGAGCACTCTCACTACTCAGAAAAGCTCTTTGTTCATCCAAGCTTTAAGGGGGGGGAAAGAACCAAGACCCTCTGAAGTAAGACTCTGTGTAAGACCCATATGCTGATAAGACCCTGGCAGCTGTTGCCAAAATCCTTATTTATCCGCACTCAGTACTCAATAATGTATGCCAAACTGAAAAAACCTGCGCACTTTTGGAAAATTGGCATAGAGAAGATGTTGGAGGCAAATCCTCATGAAAGGCTCCTATTCCAGAATACTAGAAAACAGAATTGATGCCTTCTTCCCCTCTCCACTCAAAGACAGAGGAAATCTGTAATCTGCAGAAAGCAGAATTTCAGGAGGATCAGAGCTTTCCCCTTTTGAGTCCTTGCAATCATAAAACATGAGAACAAGGAACTAGAAGGGAAAAAATAAATAACTGCATTAACTTGATTTCAGAAAACTAAATATGAGGCTGGGAGAACTGAACAAAATATATATGGCTGTGTAGATAGAAACCAGCCATAAGAAGTTGCCAACAGCAAACTGAGTGTAAAAAAAAAAAAAAAAAAAAAAGTTTTATTTTGTGAAAAATCAGGTGAACGGGAGACTAGATACAGGTAGAAAAACATTTGTATTATGAGATTTCTTCAAGGTTCAGAAGGTATGAAGTTTGAGGAATGCACAGAAACCTGCTGAAAATCCTTCTTTCCTAAAGAATTAAAGAGCTCAACCTTAAAAACACTTAACAGCTTATCTACTTACAGTTTATAGGAATAAGCTATACTGCTATAAGCACTGGTATACTGGTATAGCTGTATCCATGCTATAAGGTTTTACTGATTTAACTATGTTGGTTTCTAAATTGATATCGTTATAGAAGTACAAGCACTGTGTGTAGACCAGCCCCTCATATTTAGATGCTACCAAGTTCTTGCTACTTAGATTGTAAACTCCTTGGGGCCAGGGTTGTCTTTTTGTTATGTTTTTGTACAGCACCTATAACAGGCACTACCACAATACAAATAATAAACTATAGTAATAACAATAAAGGAGGGTGCCCATATAAGGTGTTTGCAGCACCCTCCCTAGCCTGCCTCCTCCACACACTCACCTTCCAAAACTTCAGTTATCAACATAGGGATAAGATCTCATGTCTAGCAAGGACCAACCCAGACCTGTGTTATTACTCCACTCAGTACACCCCCCAGCGTATAGTTTAGGGGTGCAGAAAAGGAGACTTACTCAATGTCAAAAATATTTTATTGGTATTAAGGAACAACAGTATTCCGTGACAAAGCGGAATGGATATTTTCAAGACACAAGAGTTTCTTTTTTGTTTTGGTTTGGTTTGGTTTGGTTTTACTAAGGCCAATGAAGCAGTGAAGTACATAGAATATTACTTACCTAAAGCTATCAACCTCACAACATTAAATGAACCTGAACTAAAATTCTTCAGAAATATTGCGATAGTACCACAATACTTGCCTAAATGCTGTGAGTAACCATGACTAACATTAAGTTAAACCATGATCTAACAGTGCATGTTTGAAAAGAGGGAACACCAAGGATTAAGGTGCAACTATTAGAATTTAAATTAACCTTAGTAAATTATTGTTTTGGTAAATGGCTATCTATCAAACATAAGAAATGCTCTCTTTCTATTTACTGGTAAATTTACCCAGAGTGTCATATATTTGATTTCTGTGGCAATCTTTGGATGTTAATAGAGTTGTACTGATTCATTTAGGAAATCAGTCCAGGGTAAGGATAGTATGGATTAATTCCAAGTATAGATGTTCTATATCATGTGTTAAGTACAGTTGTAACATAGAAACTTACAATTGTAAGCAGTTGGTATTAAGTATCTTCAAATGGGGAAACAAATGAGAATAGTTTCCTGGGCTTAAGATATCAAAGTTAAAATTCTTCATACAAAACTAGGGCTGGCTGCTTTAAATATATAATTTGGTATAGTCAGGATCTTAGACACCCAATGAAAAGATCTAAACTTTCCTAAACTTTTAGTTTTGAAATAATATAGAATGTTGCATACTACAGGAAAAGCATCTCTGAGTTCCAGGACTTGCAAATTAAGGAAAATGTGGATGGACAGTTGTTTGAGGCTTAAACTCAGAAGACGCCGACATCCTTTTAAATAAAAGATTCCCATTTCATCCATTTGAAATCACAAGGAATTCAGTTAGAAGATACATGCTAGTAATACAATTGGGATGAAATGAAAAAATAGTGTTTTACTCAATGTGTGCCCCTCAGACTAGTAAAACCAATTCCTTTTTTTTAATAAATTTTGTCACTGATTTTTGAAGCACATAATCATATACATACATAACTTGCAAATGCGATCAAATAATACTGAGACATGCTTACTAATAGCAATAATAAAGGGCATATAAGTAATTTAGATTCATAATTTAAAAATACAATTTTAGCCTAGACACAAGAAATAGTACATCTCTGTTCAGCCAGCATTCAGGTTCTGTAGCAATGAATGCAGTATTAAAAATCTAGATGAGATAACTGGTATATAACATATGGAAATTATAATACCAGGCTGTAAAACTATGTAACCCAGTGGTTTGAGTCTGACAATGTGCCACTGCACAAAAAGTATGGATCAGCAATTAGGATACACTGTCCTCAGCACAATGATGCAGTTTGTCATGAATGGGTAAGAGCTATGCTATAGGGTACTACTAAATATGAGGCAAGACATTTCCCCAGACTACTGTATAATGGTAGTGCACTTTCGCTTTCACAAGTTCATCTTTCCAAAGAAGATAATTCAGGTAATTCAATGTGCCAATATTGAACTGTTGGGGTCTAAAATAACCCATTTTTTCTGGTATAGCTTGTTTTGTTCATGAGGGGTAATTTTACCATCAGTACGTAGCAGAAATTTGCCAGCATAGCTGCATCCACACTAGGAGTGCTTTGCCAGCATAGTATACAAGTAGTCCTATACTAGGAAAGCACTCCTAAGGTAAACTTGGCCATCTTTAGATTTGGGACAGGGACCGTCTCTTGTTCTGTGTTGTACAGCACCTCCTGGACCATGACTGGGGCTCCTAAACACTATAGCAATACTACTACTACTACTAAACTTTTTACAGAAGGTGGGGGCATTTTGCAGAAGACAGTATTAAAAAAAAAATAGGGCTGTCAAGTGATTGATTAATCACACTGTTAATAATAGAATACCATTTTTAAAAATATTTTTGGATGTTTTCTACATTTTCAAATATATTGATTTCAATTACAACACAGAATACAAAGTGTACGCTGCTCACTATATATTAATTTTTGAGTACAAGTATTTGCACTGTAAAAAAACTAAAGAAATAATATTTTTCAATTCACATAATACAAGTACTGTAGTGCAATATCTTTATCATGAAAGTTGAACTTACAAATGTAGAATTATGTACAAAAATAAAACAGTGTACAATTTTAGAGCCTGCAAATCCACTCAGTCCTACTTCTTGTTCAGCCAATCGCTCAGACAAACTCATTTATTTACATTTGCAGGAGATAAATGCTGTCTGCTTCTTGTTACTGTCACCTGGAAGTGAGAACAGGCGTTCTCGTGGCACTTTTGTACCCGGCGTTGCAAAGTATTTATGTGCCTGATATGCTAAACATTCGTATGCCCCTTCGTGCTTCTGCCACCATTCCAGAGAACATGCTTCCATGCTGCTGACGCTCGTTAAAAAATAATACGTTAATTAAATATTGACTGAACTCCTTGGGGGAGAATAGTATGTCTCCTGCTCTGTTTTACACACATTCTGCCAAGTATTTCATATTATAACAGTCTCAGATGATGACCCAGCTATGGTGACCAGATGTCCCGATTTTATAGGGACAGTCCCGATTTTGGGGGCTTTTTCTTATATAGGATCCTATTACCCCCCACTCCCATCCTGATTTTTTACACTTGCTAGACCCAGCACATGTTGTTCATTTTAAGAACACTTTCACAGCAGATTTGACAAAACACAAAGAAGGTACCAATGTGAGATTTCTAAGGATAGCTACAGCACTCGACCCAAGGTTTAAGAATCTGAAGGGCTGTCCAAAATCTGAGAGGGACGAGGTGTGGAGTATGCTTTCAGTAGTCTTAAAAGAGCAACACTCCGATGCGGAAACTACAGAACCCGAACCACCAAAAAAGAAAACCAACCTTATGCTGGTGGCATCTGACTCAGATAATGAAAATGAACCTGCGTCGGTCCTCACTGCTTTGGATTGTTATCGAGCAGAACCTGTCATCAGCATGGACACATGTCCGCTGGAGTGGTTAAAGCATGAAGGAACATATGAATTTTTAGCGCATCTGAAACTTAAATATCTTGGGACGCCAGCCACAACAGTGCCATGAGATCGCCTGTTCTCACTTTCAGGTGACATTGTAAACAAGAAGCAGGCAGCATTATCTCCTGCAAATGTAAACAAATGAGTTTGTCTGAGCGATTGGCTGAACAAGAAGTAGGACTGAGTGGATTTGCAGGCTCTAAAATTGTACACTGTTTTACTTTTGAATGCAGGGTTTCTTTGTACATAATTCTACATTTGTAAGTTCAACTTTCATGATAAAGAGATTGCACTACAGTGTTTGTATTAGGTGAATTGAAAAATACGTTTCTTTAGTTTTTTTACAGTGCAATACTTGTAATAAAAAATAAATATAAAGTGAGCACTGTACACTTTGTATTCTGTGTTGTAACTGAAATCAATATATTTGAAAATGTAGAAAACATCCAAAAATATTTAAATAAATGGTATTCTATTATTGTTTAACAGTGTGATTATTCGCATGATTAATCATGATTAATTTTTTTAATCGCTTGACAGCCCTAATACTAATTACAGTCAAAGGGCCAAGCCCTAATGTTGTAGTCATGTGGATGCAGGAGTCTGCCCAAGGACAGATAATTGCATGATCAGGGCATTAGGACCAGCTACAACAAAGTCTATAGCAGGCAACTGGAGAGGAAATGAGAGTGGGGACAAGGAAAATAGCGAGAGGAGCATGTGGTTATATACAAGCTATCAGACAATGTAAGTATGATTTAGTTATTCCTCGGTCTGATTCAGTACATTTTCTCATTGTTTGGGAGTTACCAATTTATTTTGACACTTGATTTTCACTTTTACAAAAAGTTGTATTTGGTTATTTATTTATTTTTTCTGTCTTTATTTATTCACATTTTTACTGAACAGCAGTAAAAGAGCGTCCATCCAATGATCGGGGGACCCTGGATAATATCGTAAAAATAAACTAAGAAGGAATCTAACCCATCAATTCCACAAGTCAAATTAAATCAGATAACTCAGCTACAATATAACAAAAATTATCCCGAAACTGTATCTGAAGATAAGCAATAACAAAATCTGAAAGGGTTGAGCAAGACAATTAGCCAGCCAATTTCTTCATACATGTAGGGCTATTTTAATACAGTACTGACAGCCATGGAATGGGGATTTTATTTGCCCTATAAGTACAATTCTGGAGAGATCCTCTTCCTTGATTTATAATGGGGGCTGGAGAACATGCAATTAAAAAAAAAAAGAATAAGAAAAGACAGTCTTTCAGAACTAAGCTTCCCTAAAGTCTGGCAATACTCCACCCAAGAGAAAAACAGTACAGTACTCCTATTACTCAAGTGTTCAGGACTTGCATGCTGGAATCAACTTCTTTATCATGCAGATAGATTGCTTCAGAGGGGTAAGGAGATTAAATATCTTCCCAAATCGTGCTTGAACCATGGTCCTCTAATAATGCAGGGTTCACTGAATCATTCAGCAGAAATCAGGATACTTTTCCTGAGCAGAGAATACTTTTCCCAACAACAAAGGGAAGACACACAAATACCCCTGCCATACACTGATAGGCCTATTGAGCTACTCTGCAGGGACACATAATAGCTTATATAGTAGGGGAACGGAATAGAAAAACAAAATTAAAATACTGGAAAATATAATTGCCCAAGCTGAGCCTGAATACTGAATAAATAAAACCACTGAAAGTAAAAATAAGCTCTTCTATAATTAGCAAATAGGAAACTGAGTTTGACAGGAACATTGCTAAAAAATTGATTTCAAACATTGGTACAAACTGGGTTATTAAAATTAGGACAATATTAGCTCCGAATCTTACATAATGGAGAAGCCAACAGGAGCATTGAGGCAATTTCCCAATTCGTTTGCATGTTAAGCCATTATCCCACTCTTATTAATAAAAGATTCATGTCCTATAAACAATTATAAAGCACCAGAGCTAAAAATGATTCTTAGCTTTTAAACTTCATTAAGTAATCTAGCCAATCTTCCTAAACTTGATTCTCTATTTTCAGTGTCTCAGACTTGAGAAGTTACATTAAAAGTTCTTGCCACAGCAATCTCAGTTCTTCCTGAGGGCAAAACTCCTGACCCAAAAATTTTACTAGTCATTAATAGAAACAAAAAATGCAAGAATGACAACTGGAAATGTTCTGTTCTGTCTGTCAGTGCTCCAGTCTTATAGGGCCCGATGGTAGCTGTCCCCAAACTGGCCCTAACATGGCCATGTGATGAATTAGAAGGAGTGAAACACAGATGGCCCTTCTATGTAAATCAAATATTAAACAAAATGTGAATCTATAGAGTAATTGCATTTGTAAACTCTGATCTAGAAATCAGGGACAAAGAATAATGAAAAGAAATAATGATTAATATAGCAATTGACCTTCATTCAGATTTCAAACTAGCTAGATCAACATTGGTCACTTGAGACATCATTTGAACTTAATTTGGTACTTTATCCTTTTTAAAAAAAAAAAATGTTGAAAACATTTTAGTTATCAACTCCAAGAAAGCATTCAGTTCAGTTGGGTGGGATTTTCTTTTATCTCAAGAATTCGGTCATGAAAGAGACGCACTTTTCTTTCCCTGTAGCAATATATCTCCTAAACTTCATTATTAAAAAGATGTCCCAAAAAATGAGGTGCAGACTGGAGTTATATGCAATAAAAATATTTTACATGTCTGAATTCCTGAAAGTATAAGAAATATTCTAATTCTGTATCAAATTCAACTTTCTGCATATAAATGAAAGTAACCCAGTGGATAAATACGAACAATTCTTTGTGCAAACTGATTGCAAAAAGGACAAGTCCCAATAAACTGGAAAGAGGAATCTCTACCATATTGTTGTAAATTGATTTCCAACCTCAGAGACTTTCTCCCACTGGAAGATAGTCTCATGTAAATCCAATGCAAATATGAGGATTAATATAGAATCTGACTTCCTCTCCATGCTTTTCTCAAGATAGAGGGTCAAGACTTCAGACTTCAGGAAAATGACCAAATTAGATAAGACTCCATGCATCCAATGGATCTTTTACACCTTACTTTGGTCTCTAGCAAATACTAATATGAGTGTCCCTAGCTTGCTGTCCATCCCTCACCAAGGAACAATACATTATTGTGTCAATAGCTATTTTACTGCTGCAATTTATGGAACAGATCACCAGGTCTGTCCAAGTTGCACTCAGCGCAGCACCTTGCAGGCAGCGGAGAGGGAAAAGTGGAGCTAAACCACCTTTTTGCTCCCCTAATTCTGGGACTGATTTGGGGCTTGCTTGGTCCATGGCTTAATTTAGAGCAAGTGGACCATTCTGCCAGCCAGGCATCACTGGAACACAGCCTGCTCCTGCCCCATTCTTCACCTTGGAATGCCTTTATAGAGTGGGGAGGAATGAGTGGCATAGAGTCAGCTGTGTTGGTTCTAATATCACCAAATTTCCCCTGTATGACAAGGGAATTTCCAGATGCTACTTTAAGTTTTAAATCCCCTTTCTGCCACTGAAGTGGCCCATAAAGGGAGCTGAGTAGCTGACCCCCTGTATGTATTGGCTTTTTAGTCAGGTTTTCACAAATTATTACTTATTTGTTTATAACTTTTGCAAGATTGTGTGATGTGTAAGGTGATACAAAGGTGAGCAGCGTGTGGGCTGCAAAATATTGAGGGCGAGAGAGTGTCTTGCTTGCAAAATGCTTTGGAAAAAATATTGGTGAAATGAGAAGCTGATTCAAAAAAAGCTTTCTTTACTCTTAGTTTAAGAACTTAAATAGGATTATTCTCATTGAAAACATAAAAGATCACCAATATGTGAATCGGGGTGCAGGGTGGGGGAGTTGAAGAGCAGAGGAACTCACTATTTGTTGCGCTTTTTTTTTTTTCTTTTAAGTTTACGATGTTCTCTCAGTGTAACCAGAGATTTCCACCTGCTATGTAAGATCATCTCATTACGAAGTGTTCACCTCAGTGTGTTTGTTTTTGTAGATCTGGAGACTCAACTGCCAGAATATGGAATCTCAATGAAAATAGCAACGGTGGTTCCACTCAGCTAGTTTTGAGGCACTGTATAAGAGAAGGAGGACATGATGTCCCCAGCAATAAGGATGTGACTTCATTGGACTGGAATGTGAGTTAACTTCTGGGGCCATTCACAGTTTTTAACTGAATGAACTTAATTCTGATGCAATCATAGTTACTATGCCTTTATAGTTAAGGTGATCAGAACGTCTTCTCTACCCTACTAACTTCCTTCTTGTTTTCAGAAACTCATAATAGACTAAACTTTCATCGGTCGGGCTGAAATTTTCTAAGGTTGTTGATTTTCCTTAGGCTTAATAATTAGTGTGTTTATATATTTATTTTGGGGATTGTGAGTAAAAATGGCTCAACTGTTTTTAAAGATGAGGGAATAAAAAAGGAAATGTCAGTGGGACTCCGTATCAGCACAAGATCCCAGCTGGATCCATTGGCTAATCATGACTATTATTACAGTGCCCCAGTGTGAGCTAGGCGCTCCGCAGAAGAGAAGGGTAAGGCCCTTCCCCAAACAGCTTGCCATCTAAATTGGAGACTTGACATAATGAATGAAGGTGATGCAGAGTAGAGGAAGGTCAGGGTTAAGAAAGAAGACAAAGATGAAAGATAGCGAGTGTTCTTGATTCATTTGCTGTGGGCTCTGTGGCAAAGCGGAATTTTCAGAAAGGATTTAAATAGGGAGATGCTAGTGACTTGATAGACCAGCATAAGGAAATAGAGAATTCAATGCATAGGGGGAAGCATGAAAACAGGCACAGAGACAATTATGAGAGAAGTATAGGGTGACCAGATGTCCCAATTTTATAGGGACAGTCCCGATATTTGGGGCTCTCTCTTATATGGGCACCTATTACCCCCCACACTCTGTCCTGATTTTTCACTCTTGCTATCTGGGCACCCTAGAGAAGTAGGAGAAATAGATAGGAAGGGGCATCCTTCAATGGGCGATCATCTTATTTAATTTCCGGACCTATTGTGATACCAATATTTATCCTGAAGTTTATTCTAGTATTTATGTAAGCAAGCCTTTCTAATGAAACACTCAATGTGATCCCAGATTGTTACTGAGTTTTCCAAGGCAAGTAAAAACAAAGGAAACTGGTATCTTATAAGATGCAAATTTGGACAGTATTTGTGCATCTTCCACCTGACCTTTCTTTCCCCTCACTCATGTTCTCTTTTGTAATTGTCACTTACGCATTAGCTAGCGTGCAACTTGAATGTATGTCCCAATAAACCTAACCTAGGTTTTGATTTCTTTTCTACATCTTTCTATATTTGAGTTAAGTGCACAGCTATTCTGTCTCACTCTTTTTGGAGGATAGGAATGGACACATCTGTTGATGATTATTTTATGCTTTTCTTAGCAACGTTTTATTCTGGATGCTAATAAAGCCATCTGCCATCATTATTTAATTAAATCCACAATATTCATCATTGTCCAGTGTGAAAGTTTCACACTGGTTAATGTCTAAAAGCCAGTAGTTATTGCATTCTGTTTTCATATGGATTGGATTAGAAACATTATAAAGAAACATGCAAATTAGAATTTATTTGCTAAATGCTCTAAAATCCCTGTTTCTCAACTAAAAGATTCCCATAAAAATCATTATATCTCAGTTTTGTCTCAATCCTTTTGGCTAAGTTATTCTATTTGACGGAGCAACTCAATTTAATGGTTCATTTGCGGTTTTTATTCTCTCGTTGTTGCCAGCAGTACTAACCTCTAATTTAGGATGTAACTGAGTAGTGATACTTGCTTTCTCTCTTTGTGGGTTGTCAAATTTCCCTTACTTCAGAAAACACTGACTTGAGGATGAGTGAATCAGGGCTGATTCAGTATAATCTCTAGTAACCTTTCATTTATATTGGCTTTTCCACATCCAACAGAGTGATGGAACACTATTGGCTACAGGATCATATGATGGTTTTGCAAGAATATGGACAGAAGATGGTGAGCCATTCAGTAGTTATTGTTTTCAGTGATTACAAATGATTAATAGTACTGTATTCCATCTCCCAGACAAATCATAACATTAAAATTTTTTGTTTTTACATTTCAGGTAACCTTGCAAGCACCTTAGGTCAACATAAAGGTCCCATATTTGCTCTGAAATGGAACAAAAAGGGGAATTACATTTTAAGTGCTGGTGTTGATAAAGTTAGTATTAAAAATATGTAACTTTGATGTGTGAACGTGCAGATGCTCTGAGCTTATATTGTTTGAATTTCAACATCTCCTTCTGCTTTGGAAATTCAGCAAAGCTTGCCTAATTTGTTTTTTGTTGGGCCTTGATTTCGTCAGAGTAAGTGACTAACTACTCTCCTGTGGCTGGATAAATTTGTACCACGTGACATACGGTTTTAACAAATCCTCACTTTGCTGTCTGTCGCATTGAATCCCAAGCATTGCTCAGACAAAGGAAGTGAAAATCTCATCCCCCAATTTATGTATATACATTTAGTCTAGCACTTGTAAATACCTCAGGAGAGGGAATCTGTTTTAAGTTCTCTTGTGCCCTCTAGTTCATTTCAACAATCAGACAAAGAAATCTGAGTAAAGAATTTATGGTTTTGTTTGCAAATCAAGCAAAATCTGGTGATTTCATCTCAAAATCAGGCACAATGTGACAGCTTCAGCTGAGTGTCCTGTTTGAGTTAGAGATTGAAAACTCAAATTACTACTGAGGGGGGAGCACAAACCCATTTGAACTGTAACTGGAAATTAACCTCCCACAAATCCCTGTAAATGGAAACTTTTACTCCTTCTAGTGCTATAGTAACTTTTGTCTCCCAACAGCAGAACTATTATTCCAGTGGACATACTTTCTCCGTAACAGCAATAGTTCTTTAGATGGTTACATTATCAGTGAAATCCGGCATCCCATGTTTAAGTTCTGGAAGTATATTTTTCTAATACATTTACAATTCACTCAAAAAGTAGTGCTTAGTTCTGTAGGGATTTTGCTTAAATTTGCTATGCAATAGATCCATAGGAAGCAAATTTTACATTCATCTGGCCCACCACGACGACGGTACACCATTTATATTTTTCTGTTAGATTAATTTCTCACATGGTGACTTAGTAATGATATGTACAGTATCCGTTGGGTTTTCATAATACAACTCAGATTGCATCATGCAAAAGGGGGGAAGTCTCATCTAAAAGAGATGCTAATTGAAATAACTGTAGCAAAACGCTCAGAAAGATCAGCCTCATAAAGTTGCTCAGAGCTATCTTCTGGCTAATACATTTAAGAGGGAACCCACGCTCATTGGGTTCATTGCTGCCTCTGTAGTACTGACAGTTCAATATCTACAGTTGTATTATTTTCTCATAACAGGTGAATTGGAACAGATATATATGTATACATCTTTGCAATAGCTGAAGGCTCTCAGCAGTCAATAATGTTATCAGGGTGTCTTCTAGAATTGCTCTGCAGTGAGCTTTCTTTTTTCCTATTACTTTCCAAGAGGAATGGTAACTAATCTTTATTTCTTCCTCTGAACACAGACAACAATAATTTGGGATGCTCACACAGGGGAAGCTAAGCAGCAGTTTCCTTTTCACTCAGGTAATTACCATTTATATTTTGTTTCAAAATATTTTTTTCCTTAATTTTGGCAGTCTGAAAATATCCCCAATGCAACAAGATATGCATGAAAGTCTAACAAATTCTAACCCACACTTTGTGCCTTACTTTTCATGAGCTTCAATGCCCTGGTCTTGTCCTCTGATCAGGAGAAGAAGGGGTTCTGTGAGAACCAATCCTATAGGCTAGAGTGAATTTGCCTTACTGAAATTCTAGTAGAGGATTATTTCCCAGCCATAATTACCTAATAGGAATTATTCATCTAGCTTCTACATGCTTGAGCTGGATTAGGGTTAACATGGGGACCCTGCCTTTTAGGAATTGTCATTTGTTCATTTTTTTGTTTTTGTGGGGACCTCCAGCATTTCTTCTCCACCTGCTTCTAAAGTCCCATGCTGCGAAGCACTAGATATAGATCTCTCCAGAGTTTCCAAGCACTGGCCAAAGGGGATTCTCAAACTACAAAACTCAGATCCAGGGGAGGAATTTGATCACTCTGAAGTCTGATCTGGGATTTTGGTTTGGCCCATTTTTAGAGGTCAGTTGCTAAAGCCAGGTCTGGGTTGAGATTCTGAAATCTGCCACCCCAAAAAGTGTGATGGTGTTCAGATCTGGGGTTTTGGCCCTGTCTCTACTAGACAGTGGCAAGAGATGCTCCCTCTTCCACAGCAATTGAGCATGCTACCAAGCGTCTTGGGCAACAAGCAAGCTATGACCTAATCTTGGATCCCCACGTGACCGGTTCTACAGGGTGATATAGTTGAATTCAAAACCTAACATTGGAAAAATGTTTAAAATTAAATATTTTATTAGGCATAGTCATATAGTGATATATCTTCTTATCAAGCTGGCATTATAATTAGTAACAAAATCCAAATTCTGGCTCTAGAAGTATTATAGTTCCCCTTGGGTTTAACCACAACTAGCTAATGCATTTTTAAACATCATTGTCTTCATCTAAACTAGGTGCTAAGTTTATGTTTAAACACCTGTTATTTAGCATGTTTAGTTTGCTTAATAGCTAACATTTAGTCAGCTAACATATTTAAAACATCACTCATTTTCCCATTTTGAACAACCTATAACCATTACTGGCCTCCGATGCAGGTAGAAATTATTATTCCTCAGAAAACACAAAGTATTCTGATAGTCCATGTTCCTATCAGATTTTCACTGCTTTTTGCCACTTATCTTATAAAACCGTGCACTAAGCTGCCTGCATGGAGAAAGCAGTCTCTGTTTGCAAATGTACTTATGTTATTCATTGTGGCATTTTATTTTTTGTTAGTAGTATTCTGTAAAATCACCCTCTGCACTGTAAAGTGATGTACTGATGAAAAACCTACACCCTCTTAGCTCCCTAGAATAGTGTTCCTACTGGATAGGAGTACATATGAAACAAAGTCATCCTTCAGGAATGATGTGCATCATACACACACCTCATGGTTTGCTTTTATATTAATTGGTAACTTGATTAGGTCTTCCAACGTAATGTAATAATCTCTATCCGCATTACAAAGAGTTCAGGACGTATCTTCCACCATCTGTGCTATGTTTTTCACTGGGCTCAGGAGGTGTGAATGAATGACGGTTGTGTGGGTGCTAATATTATTGTTCATTTCAGATTGATTATGTTAATTTTCAAAATGGAATAGAACAATTACGAATACTGGATGTCCCTGGGATCTCCACTATTGCCTGGCCAATAACCTATAGGTCTAATCCAAGGCTCACTTTAGTCACTGGGAGTATTTCCATTGATATCAGTGGGCTTTGGATCAGATCCTTATGAGAGGCCTAGGTTTGGCCTTGCAGCCAACCTTCCCCAGAGCAAACTGTTCTGTGGCAGGAACTTGTGCTCTGTCTAGGGAAGGTCATATATCACCTCAGGAGTCTAATGTAGACAAGGCACACTGCCTTTTACATATACTAATCAGGGCCATTTAAAACCTTGGGGGGGAGCTGAGACTTTAACTTGACCTGCTTAGCATGTGTTAAAATCTGTACTGCCTTGTCTACACTAGACTTTTAGAACATGTGAGTGAGGATGTTAGCCAACACAGCCTAACAACATCTTTATCCTAATCTAGATGAGTCAGAGTCCTATTCTACCTGGGCCTGGAGGCCTCCATGCCCCTGAAGTTCCCTGACAGATTGGTGAAGTCTTGTAGGTCCAAACCTAAAACTCCCATAACTTTCACAATGGGCTCGTAGGTATCTTGCATGCATCCAGGATTTGATTAGCCCTTTTATAAAGATTTACTACTATTCTTCCCAGCCACCAGAGCAGACTTCAACTAGAACACGTTCCCAACGTTCATTTCATTAAAATTCAGTGAGAGAATCCTGTTTTCAGATGGATCGATGTTTGGACGCACATATAAAGCACAACCCAAGCGTAAATTGGTACTGGGTCACTAATGAGAGGAGTTTAGCTAATTGATTTTTACAGTATATCACTGGTAGCCTTATAATAGCAAATATACTTTTATTTTGGGTGCTCATTTGTGGAAAAATTTCAGTGAATGCCTGCGCCGTATTTAAGAAAGATCATTCTTAACACAATATATAAATCACAGTATTAAACATGTAGCTAGGAGTACAAGGAAAAGCTTTGGTCTTGTCATTTTCAGTGTCATGCAAAAATCCCCAAATGCCTTGATAGCATTGTCTAAATAGTAATGCATAGCTAGGTGTGTGATTATTCTGAATACCCATATGGCTTAAATGTGCAATGAGGCGTGAGGGCAGAAGCCAAATGCCTTGAACTATGAGGAAGTTGTTGCTTTCTAACTGCAATTCTTGAAATGTGTAGTTGTTGCTTTTATTAAATGTTGTTGTAACCTTTTTTTTTTTAGTCGAGTTACTCATTTTCATACAGCATACTTGGTTATTATTTCCAATACATTTTATTTACTTATTTTCTGAGTAAACATATGATTCAATAAAATAAACCACACCAGTGAATATGAAATTCTACCAATATTATAGTGTCACCCCAGCAACCCGTTTATGATTCAAATGACACTTCCTTTGTAATTCCATAATTTTAGGTGCACGCAGCTTTCTGAAAATTACTTTTGGACTGCAATTTCTCATTCTTTCTATTAGCCCCAGAAAAAGGGTACTGATGTTGATTAGGATACATCTTTATTGACTTTAAAACAATGAAGCAAAACTGTGCAGCAGAAAAATAATAGCAGAGAAACACTGTGAAAACAGAATCCTGGGCTGCTTCATGATCCCCTCTAACCATACTGAGCCCACATCGCTACAGTGATCTCTCTTAAACATGCAGGCTTTCCTCACCTTTCTGTCAGACAGAATTCCTCCCTCTCTCACAGAATTCCTCAGTTTCATCATTAATTCTATACATGATGTTTTTCTGTGAAGCATTTCTGCCTTGCCAGTGTAGCAGTATTTCTTTTAATTGAGAGGGTTAAAGAAAGCCCCATGATGGTTCACGAGGCATGTTCTCTCCTGTCAGTTTTAGATATTACACACATTTACTCTAAGGTGCTTAGTTTCATGAGGATAAAGTCAAAACAAAATATATTAAATGTAATACATTTTTTTGGTTTCCAAAGGAGACATACTTCCATCTTTATACTTAAAAAACATTGCTCAGAACAACTTTGGCTAAAAAAATTTCAAAGGTCTCCCCATCATTTTAACAATAAACCTACATTATATCCTCACCCCAAATAAATTCAACTTTAACCCCTTTCTAAATCCTGTTAGATTGTCGTTATTACTGACACATACATAAGTGTCCTGAGAATGAAAACTAATACCTCTGTTAACAGATCTCATTCCATCCTTTAGAGGACAGCTAAATTCTGTCTTTGGCAACAAAAGAAAGCAACTGTGGTAGGCCTTGTCTATAGTAAAAGTTGTACTGGTTTAACTTTAAATTGGTTTAAAAAACAATTTAGTTAAAGCACTGCAAAAATCTTTGTGGACATTTTTAATTTCACTTAATCGATTTATCTTAAGTTGGTTCCTTACCAAATTAAACTACATCTATATATAAAACAAGTTAAAACCAGATTAACAAAAGTGCACACAACTATAGGCTTAAATCTGGTCATCACCTAAGGAGTCTCACAGGAAGGTAACATATGAAGCATCCATGGTACCCATTGCTAGGTAGCTAATAAACAGAGTCCCTAGAACAACTACTGAACTACTGTATATTTTTTTCATATCGGACATCCACATAGCAATGAACTGTTCCAGGTCTCTCATAGGCCAATCACTAATTGGTGCCCTTGGTCAGGTTGGTGGCATGGGGAGAATGACTTGGGTAGCTGTTTCTTTGCCATATTCTCTAACATTCACTCTTTTGTTTGTGCTTCACAGCCCCTGCTCTGGATGTAGATTGGCAGAACAACACTACTTTTGCCTCCTGCAGTACTGACATGTGCATTCACGTATGCAGACTTGGCTGTGATCGCCCAGTCAAAACCTTTCAAGGACACACAGTAAGTTTAAAGAGTTTGAAATTTTAGGAGTCATTACTAGCATGTGGTAGCTGGTGATGTTAAACAGCTTCTGTGTTCTAGGACCAACGGTGTTTATATCCCTTTCCTTCCCCAAAGACGTACTCTGTAAAAATGACTCTCTGTCTTTGAAAAGCGATTCACTGTTCTAAATCACAACATGCAGGCAAAACCCTCAGCTCACACAGTGAGGGCATTTACATGTAACTGACTCTAAAGACTCAGAGATACATCAGTAAAATTTCATCTTCCGCTTTTGTAATCTCTTTAACAACGTGATGTGAATTACAAGGACGAAGGGAACAATTTACTTTTAACCATTGTTCAGTTGTAGAATTAATTGGGTCGAGTAGGATCAGATCCGTTAAGAGATACTTCCCTTATCCTTCTCCCCATTCCCCACCTGCCTATATACTGAAATATACTCATATTTTTCTCTTCTTGACTATCTCTCTTTGTGACTATTTAATGGTAGCCACAGGCTAATGTTGCAGACTTTCTTTCACAAGAACACTGCTGAGCTACTCTACCGTATAAAATCACTTTTAGTAACTCTCCTCAACTGGCCACCTCCCCCTGAGGGAGAATTGGTCCATATGGAGACTTGTTGGCTACAATTCTCAATTAAGCTGGTGTTTTCTCAAAAGATACTGCTGCCTCCACAATAGGCCTTCATCCATAGGCTGATGTTTTCTATTGAGTGGACTGACTGCTCCATTGCGCACATGGGCCAAATCCTGCCTCAAATATGTGTGTGCAACTCGTGTTAACTACAGCTGAAATTGTGTGTCTGTATCTGAGGGGGAAACGAGTTAAAAATAGTTTCAGGTACTATCCCTGCCACCGAGGACTCCACCCAATTACGGTTCTTACAACACATTTTTCTCTTTTAAAAATGCTTTTTTCCCCCGTTACCATGTGAAAGGCCCATAGGAAACAGGGGAACTGACTGACTAGATGGGGAAACAGTGGGTCTGACTACACACAAAGTGTTGTCAAATACACAAAGTAAGCTGGAGAAAAACAAAGAAAAAAAATATCCCCTAATTTCCTATAGTTATCGTCGCTGCAGGTGTTATTTGTACAAATAGTGGATAACAAAGTTTTCAGACTGAAAGGTGGTTTGGAAGTTGATCCAGTTTTAAAGACCACAAACCAGCTAATGCTCCAAGTTGCATTTTGTCTTAGTACATTAGTACACACACTGGTATAGACAAAGCACCTCTGGAGAGTTGCACTATTTGAGAACATTCCGTAGAACTTTGTGTGTGTGTGTGTGTGTGCATATGTATATGCATATATATTCTTAAGAAAAGGTATTTGTTAGATGAATGAAATGTCAACCTCAGAAATTGTTTTAAATTATCTACAGTACAGACCCATTTACGTGCGACCCGTTTACAGGCAAATCCACTTAATGCACGGTAGCGCCATACCTCCCAGTGCTACCTATTTAACACGCGAGACTCGTTAACATGCAGTACAGGAACTTGCTATGTAGCACTATAGATTTGCTCGCTAGCTCACTGACAGAAATCGACAGGAAGTTCGGAGTGGAAACGTGTTGTACTGTACGTCTTTACCGATATTGGTAAAGACATATCAAGCACGCTTAGTCATTGTCACGCTAGAGAGATAGATAATATACAGTAGTACTGTAGTTATATAGTAATATATATACTGTACTACATTCGAAAATTTTAACCATAGGCCTAATATAATGGCAGAGGGCAAGCGTCAGCGTTCCTACACTGTAGAAGAAAAGCTAGCTGCAATAGATCGAGTAAATAGCGGAGAAACCCATCCAAAGTTTCAAAAGATATTGGGATTGCCGAATCAACTCTCCGAGGATGGCTAAAAAACGAATCTAAACTGAATGGCTTTGTACAAAATATCGATTCTGCCGCGAGACTTAAGCGAAAACGTGTGCGCTATTCAGCAAAATCCACAATAGACAAAGCCATGCACATGTGATTTGTTCAGGAAAGGCTGAAAGGAATGCCACTAAGTGGGCCAATTCTTCAAGCCCAAGCAACAAAATTTGGAAATTGAATGGGGGATGAATCATTCCAAGCCAGCAAGGGGTTTATAAGTTGTTTTAAAAAGTGTCATGGCATAGCGCAGGTATCGATTTCTGGAGAAAACCGATCAGCCGATGAATTGGCCGCAAATGCATTTCCTGCCGAGTTAAAATCTATTTTACAAAATGAAGACTACCACGAAGAACAACTTTATAATTGTGATGAAACAGCTTTATTTGCAAAACTGCTACCTGATAAGACTTTAGCTTTTAATTACGAGACACAGAAAACAGCTGGATTTAAAAAGATAAAAGATCATGTGACTCTTCTTTTTTGTAGTAATAAGACGGGCAGTCATAAGCTTACCCCTCTTCTCATTGGCCGCTTTCATAACCCTCGCTGTTTTAATCACCTCAGTAGAGCCAAATTGCCAGCAATATACGCTAACAGCAAAAATGCTTGGATGACGAGACACATTTTCGATGACTGGTTCCCCAACAGCTTTGTTCCAGCTGTTCGTAAGCATCTGCGGTCGAAGAAACTCGAAGCCAAAGCACTTTTGCTACTTGACAATTGTTCAGCCCATTCTCTGGCCGAATCAATGGTATCGAGAGATGGAAAAATTCGAGTGCTATACCTACCATTCAATACAACATCAAAAATTCAACCTTTAGACGAGGACATTATTCAGAATTTTAAAAACAATTATCGACGGGAGCTGAGTTCGGCGATCGTGTCATGCACGTCTTCAGGCATTTCCGAATTCCTGAAACAGTTAAACATGAAGGAAATTATTTATTTAGTTAAAAAAGCTTGGGATGGAGTAAAACAAAAGTCCATTGAAAACTGCTGGATGAAGGCTCTCAGTGATGCCTTTTCTGTCAAAGACCGCTCAGACTCGGAAAACTCCAGCACTGATTCAGAGCCAGACTTTGAAGGATTTTCAGAAGAAGACGTCCTACAAACACGCACGCAGACAAAAGAGGATAAAGGTAAACTTCTCTTTCAAATGATAAAAGATTTTAGTTTGGATACGTCGCTTGAAATCATAACTGAGTGGCTGGAGATGGATGAAGATTGCCCGACTTCAGAATTTCTGTCCGAGGAAGAAATATTAACGGGCTGCGAGGCTACGTCGGACCGCGAAAGTGATGGCGAGAATTCTAATAATGCAGGCCTAAATGACAGTGACGACGAGGATGTCGTTGAAAAGGTCAAAATTTCGCCCACAGAAGCCCTTAGTGTGGTAGAAACTGTTGTAAGATTTATGGAGGAGCAAAATGCGGAATATATCGAACTCGTTCATCTGCAGCGAATGACAGACATCATAAGAAAGAAAAAAAAATGTGAGCATGAAAGAGCAGAGAATAATGGCATTTTTTTCCTGAGTGAATCATAGACACTTTTTTCAGCATGGCCCTCTTAACCCGCGGTCCGTTAACACGCGGTCGTGACGGCTTCACTCCCGACATCCGCCCATAAACGGGTCTGTACTGTAATTGTTGCACCATTAAATGGTCTGGGACTAGGGTTTGTTGAATATTTTGTCGTGTGGGAAGAATCTGATGATTGCCAGACTTTGCTCCTGACACCATGTATGTCAGGAACATGGTAGCTAATTGTGTGGATCATTCATTGACACACAAAATTGGTTTCCCTTCCTCGTATGTATTTGGATAGTGTGTTGTGAAAAGGGATGTGTTCACATGTAAGGTAATGAAGAATGTAATGTAATTTTCAATAGTTTCACTTGTTGGAGTAATAACACTTGAGTGCCCTCTGCTGGGTGCCAGGCACAATGCAGGCAACTTGGAATGTTCACATAGAAAATCAATCTTTATTTCAGAATGAAGTCAATGCAATTAAATGGGACCCTTCTGGTATGCTACTAGCATCCTGCTCTGATGATATGACATTAAAGGTAATGTAATTTGATGGCTTGCCTCCAGACTGCTTAGTATTTTTCCCCAGTAGAAATTTACTTTATAAGATTTTCCATTCATGTTGTTAAAAAAGACCTTTTTGTCTCCGTTTACATTTTTCCCCCCAGCCTGATGCTACCATACTATTAAAACTCTCTGCATGAGTGGTGGTTTCATCTTACCATTTTTGAGTGAAATAAGAATGAACAAAGAGAAGCAGACAGAAAACTGAAGCATGCTATTTTTATTAGGATCTACTGTCTAATATGTCACTGTCATGGAATTATAGCAGTTGGAACTGAAGACCGTATTTTAGGTCATCCTGTCTCCTTGCCAACACAGGATTGATTCTCACTGTACATTAACAAGTGTTTAACCACCGTAATTTACAGTAAATACACTAATAAGGTTTTCACCATTTCACCTGGAAGACTGTTCCAGTCTAAAACCTCATCCACACTCAATAGTTAAAAAATATAATTGTCAGTAAGGAGTGTGATTTTTTTTTTTTTTTTTTTTTTTTTTTGCTGCTGACGTAGTTATACTGGTAAAAGCCCTAGTGCAGGTGGAGTTATACCACAGTAAAGATGCTTTACCCAGTGTATTTTATTTTGGTTCCCAAACCAGAATAAACTGTACCAGTATAAGCATTAGTATATTTAAAGGGGCAAAACTTTTAAGCATAGACAAACCCTAAAAGGATCTCACAATTATAAATTATAGACTGAGAAACTTTAAGACCAGAAGGGACCATCATGATCATCATGTTCAGCCTAAATAATATTTTGCTCAGTTTCACCCTCTAACTCCTTGGTGCTTTATACCTCAGATATTTGTTAGATGGTTCTTCTGTTCACCCACACCCATATAAATTTTAATAAATTACCTATCCATATTTAGTCATTTCTCTTAATGATTTTCTCTGAATTTCACCCCATTTCTCCACAGCTTTCTGTTACTTAGATGCCCCAAAGCATGTGCTATTTCCAGACTGTGCTCTCACATTCCTTATTAGTAATTCTACACTGCTGTATATAGCGACAAAAAGTCCTGTGGCACCTTATAGACTAACAGACGTATTGGAGCATAAGCTTTCGTGGGTGAATACTGCATCTGACGAAGTGGGTATTCACCCACGAAAGCTTATGCTCCAATACGTCTGTTAGTCTATAAGGTGCCACAGGACTCTTTGTCGCTTTTTAAAGATCCAGACTAACACGGCTACCCCTCTGATACTGCTGTATATGTGGTTCACAAACACATTGGCTTGTTCTCCTGCTGCTAATTTGTATCCAGTGAGTTTGAGCATTATTGCTTTTCCAGTATCTCTCTACCACTGAATATCTGTAATTTTGGATTATTTTCCCCCCTAAAGATTAGTTGAGGGTTTTTGGTTTGTCAGGCAGCTGCAGAGCAGTTTCACTATAAAACATGTAATGTCCGTTCAACTTATTCTTATTCTGATATTGAAATATTGCCTTGCATAATGGTGCATAAATTATTGATTTGATTCCATCAAACATGTTATTAAAGACATTAGTAAAACAAACCAGAATACCAGCAGGATGCTTGGAACAATCAAGATTTATCTAAGCCATACTTAAAATGGTTTTCATAAATTCACACTATGATTGAAACATGTAATATAAATTCAGGTTAGATTCCATGGCCAGGGCAACAGTTGTCAGCTTCTCTTGATCTCGTGAATAAACACAGTTAAATTTGCAAGGCCTTTGCAATATATACACAATTGTCATATACAAACAGAATAGGAAGGATTGAAAGCCAGGAGTTGAGAAAAGATTGCAAAGTTTAGATACATGGCTGATTTTTTTTTTCCTGATTCACCTGACATAGATTTGGAGTATGAAGCAAGATACATGTGTACATGACCTTCAGGCTCACAGCAAAGAGATTTATACTATCAAATGGAGTCCTACAGGACCAGGCACCAGCAACCCAAACTCCAACATCATGTTAGCAAGGTAACATCCTCTCCTACTGGTGGTTTTTACTAGGCTCTCAGCAAATAAAACTGAAAATAATTTCTGTTAGCGGATGAGAGGGGATTGACCAAAGAGGGAGGAAACGTATAACAAACATGGAAAATGAAGCCATATAGTGCTTAATTTTTAAACAAACTACTTTAGTAAAAAAATATTACAGTTGCCACTGCACCCAACACCCAGGTATCTGGTTTATATAAATGAATATGTTTAATTGAAGCCCTATAATATATGGATCTGGCAGTCCATTAAACCAACTGGATGTACTCTAATGAGGGCCATCAAGCAAAACTACATAGATATTGATATTTTTTTATAGTTCTGTTAAGTGGTGTAGAACAACTCGGGTGGCTGTTAAACTTTCACCTAAAGAAGTCCATTCAAGATTTAACTTCATCCAGGTTTAGACATCTGTTTAATCTTAGTAATGTCAATAGATGCCTGGACCACTGGATTGATTAGCTAATTGGCACATAATGACTTTATCTTCTGTATGATATTCTAGCAGCGTTGTCTCTTAAATGTATTTATTTATTTTGTTGGTCAAGTAGTTTTGTTTTGTTTGGAAGGAAGATTGTTGGGTTTGGGATTTTTTTATACAATACAGGGGATTTCAGCGGTCTTCTCCTAGTCCACGACATTGGATTTAGGTGGATTGTGGTAAGAAACGACGAGTGACTTCTGGGTGGAGGGTGAAAGAAGGTAAAGGACCACTATGCTAGAGAATATGAAGCAAAATTCATTTGTTAGATAAGAGATCAAATCCTCTTAGGAAGAAACTTTCCCTGGGGCAGGTTGTCCTATACCTGTCCACTACAGAGTTACTTCAACCTTCCTCCACAGTAGCAGGTAATGGCCACTGTCAGAGACAAGATACTGGACTAGATGAACAGCTGCTCTGATCCAGTAGGGCAATTCCTATATTCCTACTGCTACCCACAAAACCCCCCAGTGAAGCCAAAAGTTCCAAATACGCACATCCACCGTAATAAATTCCTTTCACTTAAGAGGGTTTGACAGAACTCAGCCCTTCTATACCTCTCCTGTTTGAAGTATTGGTGCACATTTGTTTGTAGGTGAGATGTGTCCTCACAAGTTGTTTACAGTATCTTTGCAAACTGCAGATAAACTAGTACCCTGGTCAGTACTCACTTGTGTTTGACTCTTTCCTGTAGTGCTTCATTCGATTCTACTGTTCGGCTGTGGGACGTTGAACGAGGAGTCTGCATTCATACACTAACCAAACATCAAGAACCTGTCTACAGTGTAGCTTTTAGTCCTGATGGGAAATACCTGGCCAGTGGGTCCTTTGACAAATGTGTCCATATATGGAATACTCAGGTACTCGTTTGATTCCCACACACTAATGAAAAGCGGTTTAGCTGAAACATTAATAACAGAAATGATAAATGGAAAATGTATGTATCTGTGTGCACTGAATTTGTGAACCTGACCATGGCATGAAAACCGTTTGAGCTGATGGTGTGAGATGATGAGCTGCCTGTCCTTTCACATTTTTGCCAAAGGTTCATTGAACATGGAACTGTGCCAAGAAAATCAATTGTCTCAATTTTATGTTAGTGTGTAGCTGAAACTGCACTGTGCACATGAGGCATGTCAAGCTGCCAGTGCAGCAGCCTTTAGAAATGATTGATGCTCCTATTAAGCAGCAAGCTGGGTTCATTTGAGATTCAGATACGCACAGGACTAATTTTTTAAGAGTACTACATATTTGTGAAGAGATTATCATTACAAAGGTTCATGGAGCTGATATTTGACAGGATAACAGGGCTCTGCGATAAACTGGGATACTTGGAGTTACTTCTGTGCAGACTAATGCCCAGAAAGCTTTTTGGGCTCATAGTGACTTCCTAGCAGTGCTTGCTCCAGGAACAAGCTGAATGATTTGAGCTATGCTTGTTTGTACACAGCATTCTTTTTTTTCCCTAGGAAGTAAAAATGTTCAGGACATGAATTTTCAATATTTCTTTCTGTATTAGAAATCGCAGGGACCCTCCTGGCAGTGAAACTGGTGTGGTTCCCACCAGTCGGTGGGGATGGTGGATTTGGGATGGGGCTACAGACAAGTATGTATACACTATGGATCCCAACTCTTCACAGGACAATTGGGTGAATTCCTGGTCCTATTGAAGTCAATGGCAAAACTCTCATTGACCTGAATAGTTCCAGGATTTCACCCCTGGTATTTGTGCCTCACAGTGTAGACACCAATGCACCTCATAGCAAACCCACAATCATAAGTGCCCACATAAAAATAAAATATCGTAAAAGTCAAATCTTGCAAATTGGTTTGCTTTCTAGAGCGGAACTCTAGTACATAGCTACAGAGGCACTGGAGGGATCTTTGAAGTCTGTTGGAATGCGAGAGGAGACAAAGTGGGAGCAAGTGCATCAGACGGATCGGTAAACATTTGTATTCATTCATTGTAAATATTTTGGGGAAAATCCTGTGCCGAGGCCAACACAAGTTCTGGGCACTGTTGCCTTCTCTGGACAAAGCTCAGAGGTGGGTGGGTGTGTTCCCTTATTTAGGGCCCAGTTCAATGCCCCATGAAGTAGATGGTGTCTTTCCATTTACTTGAAGGGGCTTTATATCAGGCCCCTCAATGCACATTTCCTTGATTGCCACCCTTTATTTGAAATATGTTTATGATTAAAGAAACACAAACACTACTGTTTCTTTCTCCTCCATGACCCTTGAAGTGTAAATCCTGCAGATTGTCATGCAGAACCATAACAAGTAGAGATGAGAAACAACTTTTACATCTTCCAGCTCATTAGCTGGTGAATGCAGAATTCTCCCCCAGTCAGTATTCCATGATGCATTATCTAACTTATTGGTAAATTGCTTTATTACAAGATTAGAACCTGAGCGCGCACACATTAAGAATCCAGAATAGCCTTCAGAAATGTTTCTAACTCTTGGGTCTTTTCTTTCTACACCTCTAGGTTTGTGTTCTAGATCTGCGGAAGTAAAGGTGAAGTGTTTTAGAAGAAATTTCAAATGGACCAGCAGTGAATGTGTGGGGAGAAGCACTCTTCAAAACTATTCTTAACAGCTCCAGAACTGTACAAACTTGAAAAAAGTTAGTGTGTACAATGAAACCAACTCTCCCTGGCCACAGAAGTCTAGTATTTTGCCCATAACCCTCATCAAGGAGTAAAAACACAGTCACTTCAAAGGGGGAGAGTATGGTTTTCACCTGGAATATTCAGCCTTGGAAGCATGAAGCCACCAACTAGAGACTGCACTGTTTGGTTTGCATCTGAGAACTTGCTTTGATGGCTGAAAAAAAAAAAAGCTGTGCCAAAAAATAATAATAAAGAAACAAACTAAGCAAAATGCTGTGATAAACCAAAAGGGAAAAAAAAATCCTCCTCCATGTGGTGGCGTATTTTTTTCCTTCCAATTTGGACACTACAGTTGCTCTCCCAAAGGACATTCAAAGACCAGTTTGTACTGATGACATGCGCAACTTTGTAATCACAACACTTTCTATTTTCTAGACTACTTTTTTGTTCAGTGGTTTTTCTATCAGCTGGAATATTATGTCCTGGAGAATCCCGGGCTTAGGTTGGAACTGATTTTTTTTTCTTTTTATTTTTCCTTCCCTTTTCCTTCTTGTTTCTCTCTCTTTCTCTCTCCCTCCTTCCCCCTCCTGTGTGCCCACAGTAGATGCAGCCAGTTGGACATGACAACAAAAACTTTCGACAGTCTGCTTCTCCTCTTTCTCCGCCCTCCCTCCCTCCCGCCCCGCCTATTTTTTTAAAATCCTCCATGCTTCAGATCTTAGCATCTCAAGGGCACTTTCAGCAAATTGAGTAATAAGTGCTTTATAGAAGAATGCAGTGCTGGGGAAGATTTTTACAGGTGAAAGATGACTTTTAAGAGAAAGAACCCAGTGTATTTTTGGAAAAAAATATTTTTTATGTTAAACATAATTTTAAAAGCCTAAAATAGCCACCAAACGTAGACTGCTTTGTGTAATTCAAGCAAAATAATGACTCAAGTGGAATCCAAGGTACATTAAAGATGCAGTATCATTTTCCTCTCCTTTGTCTCATAAAGTTCTGTAAGAAAATGTCATTTCATACAACAACTATCAGGTTTTAAGCAACAATAACCTCTTCCTGCAGCCAGAAGTTTACATGGACTAATTTTTATTTTTGTAGTGGTATGATTATGTACATGTATTAAAAGAATACAGAAGTTTGAGGTTATATATACAGAATTCATATATTTGGGTCCATATACCCAAATACCTGTAGTAGTTAAAGGAAAACAATTGTGTATGCTCTTTCCTGGAGAAATGGTCCCAAATTCATATTAATGCTGCATTCTGTCACTCTCAGTCATGTTCATAGGACTGGAAGGGATCTTGAGAGGTCATCCTCTGCACTCGTGGGAGGTCTAAGTATTATCTAGACCATGCGGACTAGTACCTCATTCCACTAGTCATCACATTGGGCTGATCCTCTTCCCATTAAGTCAATGGGACTTTTACCAGAGATTTAATAGGATCACTCCTTCCCCTTTGGATTCCCCTAGTGTAGGCACTGCAGAAGACAGCTATTAGATTGCCTTCTGGGATGCTTTGCAAATCATGATGACAGAGGGCACAGGGTTGGGGGGCAGAAAAGATGTGCCGTGGGCAGGGTTGCAGCATACGGTGCTGTGGAGATTCCCGGCAGTGCTGTAGACCATGGAGCAGCTCAAGGAGGTGGCCATAACTTAGACACGCCCTAAGAGCTAAACCATGCCAGGGCCCTCTCCATCCCATGGAGTAGCCCAGGATCAGAACAGTGCAAAAGTGGCTTAAAGCCACCATAGTACCTCCATAGCAAGTTGAGTGCTGTGCCTCTCAAGAGGTGCCGCACAGAATCTCACCCGTTTCTTTCAGTGGGGCTGCCCATCAGGAGTAATTTGTAAGACCCTGACCCATAATGCTTAAAGTGGTGTGAAAATGCCCAAGTTACTTAGTATATGGAATTAATATTTTATTTCATCTGAGGTTTTTCTCTCTTTACTATGACACACTGACAGTATCTTGGCCTTTTCACAGGAACTAACCACGGCTCACACATTGCAAGCCCTGTGATGTACGATTGGAGATCAGAAAGTACTTAAAAGAATTAAACTATTAAGATTTTTCAGTCCTGAAGTAGAAACATTTATGTGGAACATTGGTTATTAATTGCTGTTGCTCTTTTTTACCCCCAAAGAATGGAAGGTGGGAAGAAGGCAAAAGTTCTTTTCCTTGTGGTAATAAATCCATAGAGAATTAGACTTTAGGATGCCCAGATGACATTTTTGAACTGTTTTATAATAGCTGCCTAGACTGACCTGTTTAAGCTCAAGATAGGAAAAAGAGTACTTGTTAGAAGAGAGAATTACTCACTAGTGGCATTGTGAGTGTTTATGGTTAGCATTTTAAGCCTGTGCCTATGATGCCCGGTAGCCTTGGGTTGAATTTTCAAGGATAACAGGAAAGCAGCATCTGTTTTGGGGGGCTGCAGAAGACATGCTCAGAAGTGTGCTTCTTCTGGGTTTGCAGTTTGCGTGACTCTTGAACCGGCCAAACATCAAGATGTGGTGATGTCAAGATAGGTGATTTTAGTTCAGTTGCTTTTGTTGCCTGGCTTTCTTGCTACACAGACATATCTAAATCTGATGGAGCCTGTTCCAGGAATTTTAACTGGGAGATACTTTGTGGGTGTCAAAAAAGCATGTTTCGTTTTTGAAATCATCTGAATTAGCACCATCTACTCTCTGCTGAGTTACATAAAGGAAAGAAGGCAAGTAAAGCACAGTTTCAGAATTTGGCAAGTATCAAATTCTCACATGTGAAAGGCGCTGTTGTCCCAAAGAAGAATTCTGTATACATACACATTTTGTTAGCCTTCTACAGCCTGGCCCATTAACCTTCCTGGAGGCTTACAGGAATTGTACCTTTACTGGCTGCATGGAACTGGCCTTGAGATAAAATGGCAACCTTTGAATACGTGCCCAAGCTCTGCATCTTTAATGTAGGTTACTGCATCTTTAATGTAGAAAACACTGGGTCCCTTGTGGGGCATTAAAGGGCCTGACAGTTACAGGGTTAAACACGCACTAACCCCATGCTACATCTTAGGAATTTCCTTTTGATTTGTTTTTAAAAAGAAAGAAAAAACAAACCTAGGTAATTTTAGAACCAAGTGAAGTGCACTTTGTCAAATGTAAGGGTCTGCTTTGGTTTTGGGGTTTACTTTTTCTTTTTCTTTTTCTTTTTTTTTTTTTTTTTTACTTTTTTTTTTTAATTGTGGTTCTTTGTCAATTGCAGAAATGTTCTTTCAGCCACTCACTGAAATTTTGAATTCTGGCTTCTGCAGTTTTTATTGTCTGTGTCAGACTTGCAGCCAGACTTGGTTCTCATTTCAGCATTTCCCAGATTCCATTGAAACAACATCAACCCCTATTTTGTTTCCCCTCCACCTGCACTCTCTCGGAAATCACCTTGTGTATTGTAGCTCATTTGTTTCAAGGAGAGAATCAACAGATCATATTCAGTGTCTTGAATAAATTGCTATATTTTGATATTAGAGAACTCTGCGCGTGTTGTTCCTTTTTCTTTCTTGGCTATTAACTTTTTGCTTCCCACATTCAGGAGCTGGGAGGAATGTGTCAGAATGCAGCATATTTATTGTAGAATTTTGTTTTCCCCAAATGGCCCTTCTATTTAAAAAACACTCTATTTCAAAAGGGGCATATTGAGCAGTCCAGATGGTAAAGAATCAACTTAAGTGAAATGCGTATAAAGCACTTTTATACCAAAATAAGTGTCCATAAAAAGGGACCAACTAAATATGTGTCTAAATCAATGTGGTTAAATTGTATAATTTTCTCACGTAGACAAGGCTTTAAATCCACCACGTTGTTTGAGATGAGGCACCACAACCAGTATAGATGTCATAAATGCAGATGAGACATGCCCTTGACTACAGGTGCCAGTTGAGGTTTTCACAGCTCTCTAGAACATTTAGACAGACATCTTATATTAGTTTTAATGTTCACAGTGTTGTTGTAGCCATGTTGGTCCCAGGATATAAGACAGACATGGTGAAAGAGACCAGCTTTTGATCTCCATGGACCTGAAGAAGAGCTCTGTGGCTCTTGAAAGCTTGTCTCTTTCACCAACAGAAGTTGGTCCACTAGAACATTTTATCTCACCCACCTTGTGTGTCTCATTAATTTTAAGAGAAGATGTGTATTAATCCCCTAGATGATTTAAAAAAATGTAACCACAGTACTTAAGTTCATGCAGTAAGCATGTAAATTCTTTTCTGTTAGCTATATCTAGAGGTGGCTAGCAGAGCTGTTTATTAATCTACCCAACCCCACTACGTTAAAAGCATCTTGGTGCTCCTATGAGCTTGGTGCTCAAGCAAAGTGGAGTTCTGATCCTCCTATCAGTTCCGTCTAATGGTTCTCTTAGCGGCTAACCTATGAGGGGTCCTATATGTTAACCCATCTGGGTTTTCCGAATATGTGGAGTGCCTTAAAATGTACATATCATAGCTAGAGTTCTGGGATAGTAAAAAGCTTTATACCATGCAAGCTGGTATCTGCAGTGCACATAAGATGCCCCTGTGTGACATATGAGAACATAATCAATACGAGATTTTGTGTGACAGCCTCACTGCACTGTCTGTTCACTCAAGCAAAAAGTAGGATATTGTCAGAAGCCTCCAAAGGAATTAGCTGCCTAACTCATTAACTCCAGCACCAACAACTCACAACCATCTCTAGCAGCATGCTCTATCATCTGGCCTGTCCTTGGTTACCCAATATTCTCTATCAACACATTGTCTAGTCACTGGAGGAGGCTACACTTAGTGGGCATGAAGAACAGGAGTACTTGTGGCACCTTAGAGACTAACAAATTTATTAGAGCATAAGCTTTCGTGGGCTACAACCCACTTCTTCGGAGGCATGGTATGCATCTTGGTCATAGTCCATCATAACTTCCATCTTACCCTAACTATCATGCCCAATGATCTCCTTTCACAAGTTACATCCTTCCTGGGCTCTGGTTTTGATATGGTGTATTTTCATAGAATTATAAATGTAGGGCTGGAAGGGATCTCGAGAACTCATCAAGTCCTGCCAGCTGCACTGAGGCAGGACCAAATAAGCCTAGAACATCCCTGACCAGGTGTTTGTCCAACCTGTTCTTTAAAACTTCCAATAACAGAGATTCCACAAACTCCCTTGGAAGCCTATTCCAGAGCTTAACTACCCTTACAGTAAGAAATTTTTTGTAAAATTTTTTTTTTTTAGTTACCCTCTAGATGCCAAGAAGTAAGCATGACCTAT